CACTCTCTATACTCCACCTGTAAAAAGGAGAACAGAGGATGATGAGAACTGAAGATGTCTGTAAGTCTCACTACTAAAATGAACATTGCGAGCAACAAAATTGCTTACAGCTCAAAGAAAAGGCCTGAGTTACCTTGTCCAGAGTCTTATTACAGCTACCATGTTATAAAATCAACAGCTTAAAAAGTTCCACATTATTTTTACCTCCACTAACAAAAAAAGTGTCTTCAGTACCCAACTGTCTAATAGTAAGAACTATCTACTCATATCAATCCCAGTTTATGTGTATTTGTTATATCATCATTTAACCTCTCTAGTTTTCTTCCCTTCCTTCACCTCCCTGTCAAACTCAGGGATAAGAAATTGCCTCTGTGTCCAATCCATATGTTCCAACTTGAATTTATCTGTCAAACATGGGTGACCAGAACTGCACAAAGATTCCATCTTGCCCTGGTACAGAGGATCACATTTGCCTCCTCTCCAGGATGGTCACACTACTGGCTCAACACAAGAACAAAAAACCAAACCAAACCAAAACAAACACCAAAAAACACCCCACCAACTTTATTGCCATATATGCTTTGTTCTGTTCTCCAGTAAAAATAAATAATACTACCAGCTAAAAAGTCTCGCTCCAACTTAAAGGAACATGGAAACCCCAAGAAATAACCTAGAAGGGCTGCATCTCACACTGTTTAATAAACCAAGCTGTTTTCCAAAGTAAGAAAGCTTTGTGTATTGCTATTGAATTTCTCCACCTACTGGAAAGGAAAAAAGCCCTTCTCACAACATATGCAGCTATGGGAAAAATAAAAAGAAAGCAGCTAGCGTACCTCCAACATCCCACAGGTCAGCTTCTACCATGAGACGACAAAAGCAACTCTGCATTTCTCATCAAAAGAATGACAAATCTTTCACAGTTGAAGTTCAATCATTAAGAAAGGGTATTAATGGGCATGATTCAAAGTAGCATTAGGAAGCCTGTGTATAGGAAAGCCTAAATTCAGTAAAACACTAACACACTCCATGATCTGCTATCTTTCAAATATTTACATTCCATCCTGTCCAGCACATTCAGATTTTCACGCTGTTGAGCAAATGTTGCACCACCAGGATCTTTTGTGAACTCCCACTCTGAAGCAAGTTACAATGATCCCACAGCATCGTAAGTATAGTAACACAAGTATTTGAAACCAACACAAACTAGTTCTGCCCCAAGGCCTTCTGAAGTCTCCCATCCTTCTTGAGCTCACACAACTTTCAGAGAACAATCAAGTCCAATAAAAAACTAAGCTTTTTCCTAGGTTTATTTTTAACCTGGATATCCTCCCCAACTGAGTTCACACCACAAACTTTCGCAGAAAGGCGACCTTGTGCTAGCCTGAAGTGATCATGGGGATATACTGTGTTAAAAGAGATTAACGCCCTTAGCAAATGGGTATTGTCAATGCAGAGAAACATCACCGAAATACAACCCATAGATAGTGCACTAATTCCTACTTGTTAACAGACCACTATAAAGCAAGTAAAACCCAGGTATGCTGCCTCTGAAGATCACAGAATGGTTTGGGTCAGAAGGGACCTTTAAAGATCATCTGGTCTAACCCCCCTGCCGTGGGCAGGGACATCTCCCAATAGATCAGGTCGCTCAAAGCCCCGTCCAACCTGACCCTGAACACTTCCAATGATGGGGCATCCACAACTTCTCTGGGCAACCTGTTCCAGTGTCTCACCACCCTCACGATAAAAAATTTCTTCCTTATGTCCAATCTACATCTACCCTCTTTCAGTTTAAAAGATGCACCAGATTGACCTACCCAACAATTCCTATATGCAAAGGTCCAGTCCAGCTATCACATCACATAAGAGCTCTGAAGAGCAAGACATTCAATGCCACAGCTACAGTACAACAGACAGAGTTCTTAAAAATAATTTCAGCTTCCATATCAAACACACCCACCTTTGGGCACAGCCAAGATCTTCAAAGTCTTCTGTGACAAGGTTTCCAAGAAAAAGTTTCACAAAAAAAAGGTAATGTTCTCAGATGTTCAGAATAACATATGAGAATTACATACCACAGGCCCAAATTACTGGAAGCTGTTCATGGCCCTTAGATTTCTTTGCTAAATCTCACCCTTAACACAGCATTGGCTCAACTCTCCAACACCAACTGAGGGAAGCTGAAGAACAGTGGACTGAGTGTGGCCATCACTTTCACAGCCTTGCAATACCGGCATCACTCTATGCACATAAGCCTCAAGAGAAGCTGCATCTATATACCCCTAGTAACAACATGAATGTGCTCATGAAAATGTAAGATCATATGAACTCAGATGCAATGTTTGGGTGTTTTGGGATTTTTTTTACTGCTCGGTATCTGACCAGAAAGCCCTACGAAGTTCCGAGGACTGTCGCAAACTGCTCTCCTTTGTGGAAGTGCACGAGTTCTCCCCAGACCTGACGAAGGTGAGCTGTGACAATACTTATCCCACATTAGCTTCCTGCGCATCTGCACGTTCATCCCGGAGGAGGGCTCGCCTCCCCGGCGCAGCTCCCGCACCCCACACACCAGCGCCGCCCGGTAAAGCCCGATCAGGCCGGGGACCCCGCTCAGCCCAGCGCCCCCAGGCAGGGAGCGGTCCCGGG